TCATGTCCAAAAGCCGTGCTGGTTGGGTAACAGTGTCCGAGCAGCTTTTTTGTTGGCTGGGGCCTTCATGCATGCTTTGTTTTGCGGTGTCTGTTGCAAGATTGCTCTCTGCTTGCTTCTAAATCCGATGGTTCTCCTTCATCGATGGAAACCCAAGACCCCCTTGGTCGCGGATACTCCCGCGAAGCAAGAAGTCATCCTTGCTTATTCTTCCCCGAAGTCGTTGGGAAAGGTGCGCTGAAGAACGCACAAAATTAAGGCAATAGCAAAAGAAGCCGTGCCAGCAACAGTCCAAACAACTACCACCAAGAATCTTGGGCATCACCGTGAAGGAAAAGATTGCACTTGATTGAGTTCAAGATGTCGATGTTTGCCTGGAAGAAGTTGTCTTCCTGTGAAGTCATCACACAGGAGCTCAAGTCCCGCGCCGCTGAAGCTACCTTGGGATTCTTTTCTGAAAGCTTTTCGAATTCTTTCCAACTGAACAGTAGCGTGCTAAAGCTCCTCGATAATGGCACCGACGAAACCGTCATTAGTGACGACGAAGATACCATACTGGGCGAGCTTGATTTCTTGGAGGACGACAGGGAAGAACAACTGGGTACCCAGTACCACGCCCAGTACCACGAGGATTCCGTCGTAGAGGAAAGAACTCAAGGGCCTTCCGTGGTCGACGAATTCGAGGAAGAAGTCATCGAAGACGAAGTAGATACCCTGGAATCGGATGCAGATGAATCCCCACAAGAAGCAGCTCCCATTGCCATGGTTGCAGTTGAAGACGATCCGGCTCAGGTTAATGACTCTTCGTTCACACCTTTGGATGCAGTCGAGGAGGAAGTTGTGGAAACCGACAATGAGCAAAAGGTCAGCGAAGGCCTCGAATCTGATACAGCCCCCGATGTTGGTGTGGCTCAAAACAAGCCCAACAACGAAGCTTCTAATGAGTCTTCTGAAGAGCCACCCAATGCAGATGCTGCTGAGGATCAAGAAGTCAACAATGGCCTCGAATCTGATGCAGCCCCTGAGTTTGGTGTGGCTCAAAATGAGCCGAACAACAACGAAGCCTCTAATGAGTCTTCTGAAGAGCCCCCAAATGCGGATGCTGCTGAGGATCAAGAAGTCAACAATGGCCTCGAA